CAACTTCATCTATCGCTTGAGTGAAAATTAGAAGAGAATTAGAGTCAACCTGATTCGGGTACCAAACTCCATTCGATCCTCATCGGCTGTCCAAGATCCACAATATTCGCCTCAGTACCATCCTCACCATGTCCATGCTCCTCTTCAGTAACAATGCGCATCACACATTCAGGCACTGGTGCTTTTTGTTCTAGTTTCGCTGGTATCAAGCGCAGTCTGTAAAATTAGGAAATGAACTGGAGCATGTGGTACCGAAAGCATGGCATATGAAATAGCATACAAGGGATAAGCACTGATGAAAACAGTAGAAGTTTGGCTGTACTAGGGAAGGCTTTAAAGAATGTTGGGATTAAGGAATGGTTAAAGAACAGTTAAAGAATGGTTAAAAATGGATTAAAGAATGCTGAAATATTTTTTAATGACTGTATTATATTAGAACTTAAAAAGATTGCAATGAAAATGCCCCGAAACGAAACGAATGCCTGGATCGCCAACAACTGACCACCAGACAATTTAGCATTGGTTGAAGCAGCAGAAGAAGTTACTAGTCATGTAAACGAAGAACTAGACTAAAAAATTAAATTCAGCAATATAGGTTTAAAAACGAAAGTTTTTATGACGGCCAGCGAGAAATGCATAGAAATAGAATAAGATATAAGGGATTAGCTTAAATGTCACATGCATGAGGACATTTTAGGATGCAGCACGTATTTCATTCCTTAGTTGTAAACGCAGACCGAACTCTGCATGCGAGTAGTAGCGGGAATCATCAGTACAGCCTCCTCTTTACCACGTACTGAACAGTCATGTGACTAATTTGCTAGACGAATATGCGAAAGAAAAAGAAGACAGGGAGAGAACAGAGAGGGTGAAAGAAGAGAGGAAAAAGAGAGGGATAGTCAGTTCATTGAAAAGTTTGCTCCATTTGCTAAGCTGGTCACTTGTGGCAGTATGAGTGGCAGTTTCGCACAACCAAAAAAAAAAACCTTGCAGATTGGTGTCAACTAGCATAGCTAATTCTTAGCAGTTTAATCTTCTTGTTTAACAGACTTTGTGTACCGGAAAATCCCTGAATGACATTTCTGGGAAAGAACACAATCTCTAAAGAAATAGCGATTTATAGCAAATAGCATATGACAAATTTTGAAGTGGTTACACCTTTCAGTAAAATCCAGGACTCTATAACGGTGTTCCAGATACTTCAAGATTTTGTCAACTTACTCTTCCAGTGCTTCTTCGATCCGTTTTGGTATAACCTGTTTCTGGTACTGTATTTTCTGATGAAGACACTGTGCCAGAAACGATTGCATGGAGCTCGTATTGTCTTTCTGTTGAAAAACAACGATAATTTGCATATGATATTGCGTTTCGGCTCGTTGCTCACCTTAACAAGTACCAAATGTGATGAAATCCTCATCCAATCAGAAAAGACCAGTAGTGGTTAAGACCAGTGGTAACAGGAAGCAAGTGATTTACTGGAAGATAGCTTGGGAAAAATATGGCAATATATTCAGTACGATTATTGGGAAATTATTTATCCCAGTGGGTCAGATAACTTTACAGTCTGTGTTTCATCCCATAGCTGTAAACATAGGGTCATGTTCAGCTTGGTAACGCTGAAGGTGTCAAACTGACCAAATGCTCAAGCATAATTTTAGTCATACT